TCCATTTAATGTCCATATCATCACTGGTCCAGAATTAATGTTCATGCCAACAGCATTAATTACCCTTGCTTTGATTTCTCACAGGGATAAGGTAGGCTTCAGAACACTGAAACCCCACAGTCCCTTATTACAGCACACTTCTCTTAAGCCCAGGAAAAACTGTGATAATCAATATTGACTGATTCCTGTGCTTAGTCCCACTGCTGCTTCTAAATCACAAAAAGCACTCCATCAGATAATGCATCCATTTAAGTTTACCAGAGAAGAGGTAGTTACGCATCAGCTTCAGGACCTAGACATGCAAGAGTGCACCGACAACTCCTGAAATACACGAGAGTAATTAAATGGCTAAAAACACAATGCTAACAGGACTGCTGCCACACACTTGACTTTGCTGGCTGAGGAGCATGGATTAAACACCCTTCAGACAGCTGGACTCCTGCCTGCCCCACCATCCATGGCTGTAAACCAACTCCCAAGTGTGGTTGCAGAAGCACGGATGGGCTTCTGGAACAGGCAGCAGATTAATCATCTTCACCTGTAATTAGCAAAAAGCAATGGGTTTAAAAGCCCTTTCTACTTGAGACATGGCACAGAGCCCCCATTTCCCACCTCCCACAACAGGTCACTAAAATACACCATAGGGATGCTCTGAGCTCATGTGTCTGGATGAATTCTTCAGGTGGAAGAAGTGGGAGCACACCAGCTCCCTGAATCCCACCAGGATTTCAGCCACTCATGTATCTGTTCAGCAGTGCTGTATCTTAGCAATAAAAGCTGGAGTACAAAGCAGAATTTCACTGCAGAAATGAAGGCGACCACAGGTGAGGGGGACAGGAATTAAGGCCAGCAGGACCCACTTTCATTTCTTTGTGTGCACCTCACCCCCGGGTGTTGGTGACACCTCAAAAATAAGATCCCAGTCATGTACAAACCTCTGTAGGTACTGCATTTAGAGTGACAGAATCCTTTCTATTGATTTCTATTAAAATCTAGCCCCAGAAACCTAGCCAGCTTTGAAAATTATGGGAAAGCTTGATCTAAATAGTTTGTAAAGACTGTCAGGCTGTGTTGTCAGGCTAGTGTGGGGAAAAAAATCCTAATATTATCTATGGAATCTTTTTTTTTTTTCCTGCAATGTTATCCCAAATTCTGCCATTCTGTATAATCAGGATGGTGGTCAAATACACTGGGAAGAGGAGCTCAGATTTATAGCACCCAAGTACAATATGGGCTCACAAAAAAGTATTAAATCATTCCTCAGAAAAATAAATGGGCTTCCCAAACAGCCACACAAAACCATACTTAAACTGTATTTTATTAGCAAAATCTAAGATGGGCTGAAAAAGAATGAAGCCTGCCTGTCTTCCCTTGGCAGTTGCCTCTATATTTGATTGTAACTTGAGAAAGATAAATAGCCCTTACTTTGCAAGGCAACAAGCATCTTCTCTGGTAGCCAATGAAGCTGCCTATTCTCAGCTGCTCTGCAGCAATGTATCTTCACTGAAGCCTGTGGAGCCCACCAGTCCACAGTGCTGGGATCCGCACTTTCAAGGGCATAAACTTGACACCATATAACTCTTCTATGCTTTTCTTTCACTTTGTAGCTCAGAATTTATTCATCCTAGAGCACAGTTTCGGGGCTGGAGTATAACATCACTCGTCTCCAACTGGGCTGTTCTCTGTGGATAACACTGAGCATCCCTACGCCCAGCGGTAAAGCCACTAAGAAAATAACCCGCCTTTGTTGCTCATGCCACTACAACCCTGTTTGTGATTTGCCTTCTTCCCTTGTCTAGTCTAAGGCAATAGCTGTACTAATTCTTTGCCCTGTTCTCTCACTGCAGGCTTGGATTCGTTTTCACCAGAAATTGTTTGAATGGAAAGCTGGTGTAGTCAAAACACTGAAGCACATAAACACCTCCCTGAGTAATGGCATTCCTGGCTGGAAGAGAACACAAAACCCACAGTGTGCAACAGCAAAGCCAAATACCCAGTTGCACATCAGCTGAGAAAGCTGGGTGGAGATAGGAGTCCAGCACCAAAAGGGAAAATGAGATTTGAGGCTGAGCCTGAGATTAAGATGCCTTTTTTTTTTACTCGGGGGCAGTGATTTCAGTCTCCAACCTTGCCTGGGTGAGAGGATGATTTGCAGCAAGCTGGCTGAGCTATAAACCATAAGAGAGGTGAGGAATCTGCCAGAGAAATAAGGCAGAGCAGCCATGGTGCTGCCATGGAGCAGATGGAGTCACCAGGAGAGTGCTGCCTATTTTACATGCTTATTTTACACTTCCATGCAGTGCTGAAGGATTTGAGTCCAGTTATTGCTTTTTAAGCTGGCTAGTGAAGCATTCCTTGCCTGCCTGTTCTACAGCATCCGAGACCTCCATAAGGCAGGGTACTGTGGACAGACCATGACTTTCCTGTGCTACAAGGAGTCCTACTCACTTCAGAACTGGTATATACACTTCAGCACCATTAAATCCATGCACAATCTGGGCTTGGCTGGAAATCTGGATTTGACACAAATACAGTGTCAGTCTCTGAAAGAACAGGTAAATCCCTTGATATTTATTAATAATGGCTTCTGTATTTAAAGCCTGAAGCTTGAAATCTATTGTTTGTCAACTGATCAGCCTAGCTGGCTAGACCAAAAATGATAAATCACTATTTACAACATGAAGCAGAAGTTAGCTTAGCCTATACAAAGGCAAGTTCCAGAAATATCAGCAAGATGTCAGCAGAATGATACAACACTGCAAGAGAATCAAGTTATTCCTTTAATAGTTATCAAATAGATATCAAATCACATCCATGGATTCCAATAGCATTTCTCAACAGTACCCCTACACAGAGTGCTTGCTACACCTCTCTGCCCTTTCCTTTCTAAAAGCAATTGACTGACATTTGCCTTCTTAAAAGCAGGATTACCTATTTGGGGAATACACCTTCTGCAAGAGCATTTCAAAGCTCAAGTGACATCCTTAAGGGTACATTCTGCTTGATGGGGTTCTTGGCTAAGCACTTAAATTTCTCCACCAAGTATCCCTATTTAGCACTAAACCAGATTTTAAGAGCTCTTGCTTTGAACATACTGTGTTATTCTCAAAGTGATGCTCATCAAAACATTCTAGGTTTAGGTTTCTTTTATTCACCATATTCCTGAAGGATCATTCTGTGCAGACACAACCCATAGAATTGCTTTCCCCCAATTCTTCTCATTTTCTCAGCTGATTTCTTCTAAATCCCCATGAATCCCCCACTCCAATGTGGGCTAGCACATATGGCAAAATGGATTTAGTGCAGGTTGTGCAAGCCTTCCCCACATGCCATTTGCAGAACATCTTACTGCACTGTCAGTACTTCAGCTCATTGTGACAAAGCTACTTTCAGAGACACGTAGAAATCATTGGAACATAAAAGAATCTGTTCTAACAGCTTCTTAGAAATGTCAAGCTTAACTTTCACATCATTTACAGGCTTACATCTTGAGCAAGAGGTCTTTCACAAGGGACTCTAGACTAGAGCTTCCTCAAGTTTCCAAACAGGTGCTATGTAAAAAGTCATCTGGATCTCCTATTCCCATCCCTTTTCACTCCTATCCCTTCCCTTTTCTCTGAAGTAGTTTCCTCTTTTCCCCTGGGAATTTCTCCCTGATCTTTCACAGGTTGTTGGTTTATGGCATCTACTCTGGCAGTCTTCCTTTGCTGGGAAAGTAAACCTCCCTCCCAGGAAAGCCCTTGGCACACAGAGAGACACTTCTTTCCCTGCTCCCCATAGGGCTCCTCAAACACATCCCAGGAGAGGACACAGTGGCACCAGGCATCACAAGACACTCATTCCTTGGCTTGCTCTTTCAGATGTCATTTCTTCCTCTTATTGAAGGGAGAATGCCAACTAAACCTACGGCTGAAATGAGCTTCCTCCTACATCTTCAGGAGGAATGGAAAGTATACACATCCCATCAAACAGCAAAGGTCGTTCTGGTTTTAAAAATGCTACATCTTATAGAATCCTGGAATGGTTCAGGTTGAAGGGACCTCAAAACTCATTCAGTTCCAACCTCTTTGCCAAAGGCAGAGACACCTTCTACTAGACCTTCCTATTGTAACTGTGCACTTGAGAGTATCATCCTAGTTAACAGACTGCTGATACTACATATTACATTGCCTATAACCTTTAAGGGAATAGATGCTTCACATACCATCTAGAAAACAACTGTTAATGAAACACAACACCAGAAAAACAGCACAACAAACTTTCAGCAGTCTCCTTTTCTGCTCTACCCCAACAAGACCCAACCACAAACATACTACCCCAGACCATCACTGGCTTGGGGATCACCACCAGGACTTCAAGCTAAGCTCTCAGCAGCATCAACTCAGTACAAAGAACTAGAGAGAAACTGCAGAAGTCGGACAGTCTTGTTGAAGTTGAGCAGTTCACTAACAGAGCTATTTGCAATGGAGGTCTCACATCCCTAATTACATCAAGGAGTCTTCTGCAAGAATGCCTTGACAGCATTAGTTTATTCACCTTCCCAGCTGGCCTCTGAGCATTGACATCAAGCAGCCAGAGAAAAAGAAAAAAGGAGTGTCACAAGTAAGCCTACTGCTAAAGCAGAAATTTGCTTTAAACCCATTCCCAAACATGAGTCATGTTCTTTAACAGAGCTTGAAAGTCAAGGTTCTACCCATTAAAGTCTTTGCCTTCACACAGCATTAGTCTCATAGCAATTTTCCATGTAAACAGGAAAGTTTTAATTACATAATGGGTACTTCTGCTGCTTTCATAAGAATTCCTTTAATCAGATGCAATGCTTAAAGAAAGCTACTCCTTACTCAAAGACCAAATTATTAAACAATAAGACGCTATCACAAACAAATGAAGTAACATTGCAGTAAATGCTAACAGTGTCACAATCCACACCTCCAACACTTTGCTAACCCTGGCCAAATTCAAAAACCATGAGTGAGTTTGGTGTTCTCTTCGTAGCTTACCTGTATGTTCCTAAAGAACAAGCTCTACTCACTGAGGGCCTTAGATGTTGCTGTCCCATTAGGAACACCAGCTATGCCACCAACCTTCCCACAGCTAGGGAAAGCAAAAAGCATACACCACCCTGACTGGTTCACCGGCTTATATATAGCTATGAGGTTAGAGCATGGTGGGAAATGGGGGTGGAGATTTTCTTAGAAAAGGTCCCACCATGTGCCTATGCTTTGTGAAGAGGTAGGTGTGTTATGGCTTTAAGATGCGGGGGCTTTTCCCCTTTCCTCTGTATTTTGTTTCTTTGATAGCGCTTCTTTGTTTGCTTTCCAGGCTTTAATTCCATTTCTTGTGTTAGAATGGGTGGAAAGAAACAGCTTTTACTAGAATACAAGTGTTTACAATTGTATGAGTGGCTCTATCTTGCTGTTCTTTACTGTGCCCGCTACAGTGTAATGGGCAGAGGAAGTTCTGCATAGCCTGTGGCTGCTTATTCATTTTAGTGCTTTAATTCATTTTTCCTATGTATTTTTTTCCTCAGAAAATGCACAGGGTTATTTCTTGGTTTTCCCATGTTGCTCACTGGCACTAAATAGTGACTGAATTCCTGGTTTAAGCTTACTCAGACACAAAAGTCTCAAATCCTCCAAAATTTTGTTCCCTATAATTCTTACCTCAGGAAAGGGATCCTTTGGGAGATTTTGTGTAAAGCTGCTCCATCACCCCCTGCATCTGCATTTTATCTTAAGTTAATGGATATCTACCCTTATCTGCTACTTTGCTTCTCTGTGTGTCCGCTAAGTACCCATGAAATGGGACCAGGTGGTGCTTATTGGGGTCTTTAAAAAGCCATTGATAAACTCACTTAGGAAAAGCTTTGTGAAACAAAGAAGGTGCAAGTTAATGGGCTATAATAGTCTAAAGAATAGCTAAGGAACAGAATACGACAGAGAATTTCATCTTCTGAAAGCTGGCAGAGCTATTCCAGCCTGCTGAAGTTACAAGTTGGCACCATGTGCAATCCCAAGAGGAAGGTAGCATCAACGTTTGTGAAGGACATTAAGTGAGGTAGGCTGCCTTTAGTAAAATTAAGGGGCTGGTCAAGTAGACAACTAACAAAAGGAAATTCATTGAGCTCAAGATAACCCATTTTTTTAATGCAAATGTTTGGTGCATGTTGCTTGGAGGTCTGCTGTACAAAACATGCATGCTGCATTGCTGCAGGCAGCTGAATGAGACTCCTTAGCGCCTGGCAGCATTAATAGCAGAAACAAAGTGGCGTCGTACCTTCAAATGCAATCTAATCTAGCCTGACATGGTGTGTTGTTTACCTCTGACCTCCCCACGTCCAAAATCCTATTTAAGACATGAAGAGGCATTGACTCATTGAGATGAGCAGCAGACCAGCATAAGCCGTTTTGCTTGAGCAAGTTGATAAATGACTGTTGTCATGAAAGGTGAAGAGAAACTGGGCAGCAGTGCCAGGCTGCTGGGGAAGGAGAGCCTTACCTGTCAGTATTGTGGGCTAATATCTCCCCGAGGAAAGGATGGGATTTACCCATGCTGGATGTGCCAGTGGTGGGAGAATGCTTCCCTTCCTCATGGCTGAGATTGCCCAGGGCTTCAACAGTGACACCAGAACACCAGAAACACCTTGGGAACAGTAGTGAGCTGAGACGATATCTGGTTGTTCTTGTCTTGCTCTTCTACTCCCTTCAGGTATTTTACCAAGCCCAGATAGGATTTAAACTCCTCTGGTTTGGGTGCCGAGACTGGTCCCACCCTGCCCTTGCACTGCTGGTATCCAGGTGAGAGGAATGGGAGTGATCACCCAGCTAATAAAAATAACCCATTGGGAACATTGGAAGGGATTCTGGTCTGCTTAGTCAAGGAAAGACTGAGAGGAGATATCCTTGCAAACGTGAAGGAGCTAATGGTAAAGAGGGTGCATTTCAGACAGAGAAGTTAAATGTCAGGATTCAACACTGCTTATTGTGGGCACCTGCTAATCAGGTGGGGTTTCCTGTTTTTTTTCCACCAGGTCTGTTTTTAATTCATACAACATAAACCAGCTTGCTAATGACACACATGGAACTACTTCAGTAGCTGGTTCCTACCTGTGCAGTCTATAAGAACGTATTCTCTTGGCTTTCAAAAGCACTTAGCTGTAAGGCTTCAGGTGACAGAATGTTTTAAAGTACAGTGTAGGAACTGAGAGAAGATTCTTGATGCTCACTTCTTTATGCTTCATGAAAACCAGGGCTATTGTAAGAATTTAACACCTTTTAAATGTAATGGTTCACTTTTGAAAACTTCAAAACTCTGGGTTTACTCCAACCTTTTTGCTGGTGTAGGCTGTGACTTGTAGTTTCAATCATAACTAACCATCTAAAAAAAAAACCCTAGGTGGAATATTGTACAGTCAACACGGCATGGTTTTCATGGCTTTGTAAGTGCATCAGAACACTAAATTACTGCTGACTTGCACTGTATCTGCGGATCACTTTACCCCTCTCAACAACCTCCAAATACAGAAGAAATAGCTGATCATTTCAGTGTTGTGTAGATTCAGCACTTCCATAATCAAGATGAATAAAGAGTTTTACTTATGAAAGACAATTCTTGAGGCACAGAACTACTTTAGAGATTGGAATCACAGAAAACACCTTTTCTGATGCACACTCAAAGGAAATAGAGCTATTCCCAGCAGTTTCCTGCAGCACCCACGGCTGTGACCTTACATTTACAACATTATGCCCCTGTCTGCAAGCAAAGAGTTTACTTGCATTGATTAACAATGCAAAGTCATAAAGTATCAGAAGAGCTGTCTTCATCCTCCTGGTGGCTAAAGAACACTGCAGCCTGTAGACTAGCACCCGTAAGTGGAGTCTTTCAGTGCTGTTCACAGCTGTAGCATGAGCTTCAATGTGAATATGCTCAAAATGTAAGGGAGCGCATAAATCTCTGCTTTTCATTTTGTTGCTGCGCCAGAGAAATCTGTGAAATGTTTCATTTAAAAAGCAAGTGTCTGTACACTTATATTTATTTATTATAATTTATTTCATTAGGAAGAAAATAAACTGGTTTGTGTAGTGTGATGTTGGTAGCTTGAGAAAGTTCCTCTGTTGCTTAATGAGAACTTTAAGAACACTGTTCAAAGGTGGCAGCTGATGAGACAAATACATTTAATATTTTCCTGATGATTATATTTGCACTGAATCAGTGGCTGATTTAGAAGCAGCAACCTGGTGCAGGTATAACAGCTTAGCTGATTTAATGTAGAGCACTTATGAAGCTTTAAAACAATTAGAATAATGACATAATTGAGGCCTTCATGCTGTCTGGATGATTTGTTGTTAGACAAAACCATCTTTCTATATCACAGGTGGCTTTGGCTGCCCAATGGTCTCACTTGGTAAATGAGGGAGAGGAGTAGGGTAGGTTTCCTGCCCTCCCTATTGACCTGGCCATGTCTTTGTGGGATGTCACATTAATTTGGTGAAGTGCCAGTTCCTGGAAACCTCAGCTCTGCACCACCAACGATACCATTTAGCTGCTCATTCACCCTCAGTGTAGTTGTGAGGTTTTCTGTTACTTATTTCAGTGGGTTAATGAGGGTGGGTAACACATGGCCTCTATAAACTGTACCAATAATTCCTCTGCACATGAAATTTCTTCTTGCCTTCTTGATCATGTGCTGAAATGAATCATTAATTTTCACTCGCAGCTGCCTCAACAAGTTAACAACATCATGCATATTCTAAATAGCAAATTTATTTTCAATACCAGCCTCTGAATACCAATTTTTCATTAGTATAATTGATAAAATTCTACTGTACTTGTCAACAGAGAAATATATTTCTTAAATCGTGTAGAAGTGCCCTCTTTAATTTGCATTCCAGTGGGAAAGGTTTAAAATGTAAATGCACAAAACATCTATATTTGCACCAAATAAGAGGTTAAAAATGAAGGGATGAAGTATAAGCCCCAAATTAATGAGGGATCCGGTCTGAGGTCGTTGCAATAGACTTTTCTATAACAGAAACCCCTTTCTCTAATACTTTCTGGAAGATAGGAATGTTTTTTTTCTGCTGTGGCTCATAAAACACAACTTTATATTGTCAGGCTTGGCTAGAGTTTGCCTTGACATGGATTTCCTCACTCTAAGGAAATCATACAGTTTAATCTCATCTAGATGATAGCTTTTATTCCAAGACTGCTCAGTAACAGCATCTAAAGCCAGCTCAGTTCACAATTATTACATTGTTCGTTTTACAACAGGGGTGCAACCAGATGTGCTCTATTACTGTGTAGGGCAGTGCTCCTCTAAAACATTTGCTTTCCAGTCATTTTCCCTCTGCCAACAAACAGCCTTTGCTTTCTGTTTTGATTGTCTTTGATTATTTGTGTTATCCAAATGAATATTTGAATACTATTCTCACAGGTTTTTGCATGAAAATATCAGTGGAAATCCTTTTGCATATATATGGCTGATTTCCCAGCCCAAGCCTCCTGGCAATCACAGTTCTCTTCTTGCCTTGCCCCCCAAAGGAGGTGTTTCTTTTCCACCAACAGCCATAAACACCAATGGGATGAGGAGTTCCAACTCTTCCCATTTATTACAATAAACCTTTTCAGCATCAGTGTAAGAGTATTGCTGGCTCTGTTCTGTCATCCCAAAGGATAATGGGGAATGTGAAATCCAGGGGAATTAGTATTAGATGATTTTGCAAAGTTTTCTCTGTAACATGAGTTCTCTGATGCCCTTCTAATTTTTCAGCATATTCCAAAGGGAGAATAGATGATCTACCAAAACATGAGCAATAAGTGAACCGCTTTGGATACAAATCAGGAAAAGGTAGATCCATGGCGCTCCACAAGCATTTGCTTATGGTACATCCTACTGACACTGGTGTTAAATGATGGTGGTGGAAAACAGCCTATGGAGGGAACTTGCAGAGTAGATTGGAGTCTTGAGTTTGAATGATATGAGGAGAAAGGATTTCTTAATGGCCACAAAATTCTTTGTGTGAAATTTCCTTTAGAAAGCAAGTCCTGCTGTTGTTTAACTACTAAAGGTTTTAAGGTCTGTTCTGGAGTTGGCTTCTTTTCTTA